GCCCTCCTGCCCTCCTGCCCTCCTGCCCTCCTGCCCTTTTGCCCTCCTGCCCTCCTGCCCTCCTGCCCTCCTGCCCTCCTGCCCTCCTGCCCTCTTGCCCTCTTGCCCTCTTGCCCTCTTGCCCTCTTGCCCTCTTGGCCTCGTGCCCTCTTGCCCTCCTGCCCTGCTGCCCTCCTGCCCTCCTGCCCTCCTGCCCTCCTGCTCTCTTGCCCTCCTGCCCTCCTGCCCTCCTGCCCTGCTGCCCTGCCCTCCTGCCCTCCTGCCCTCCTGCCCTCCTGCCCTCCTGCCCTCTTGCCCTCTTGCCCTCCTGCCCTCTTGCCCTCTTGCCCTCCTTGCCCTCTTGCCCTCTTGCCCTCTTGCCCTCTTGCCCTCTTGCCGGTCGTCGTCGTGGTCGTCCAGGGGCGCCGTGCTCGGGCGCTGTCCGCGGGGCGCCCGCGGCGGCGCCGCGCGAGGCGAGTGCGAGGCGCCCGGGGTCGTCTGAGCCGCCGCCGCCGTCGTCGGTCGTCGTCAGTCGTCGTCAGTCCTCGTCGTCGGTCGTCGTCGGTCGTCGTCAGTCGTCGTCGTCGGTCGTCGTCAGTCGTCGTCGTCGTCGTCGTCGCCGCCGTCGTCGTCGTCGTCGTCGTCGTCGGTCGTCGTCGTCGCCCTCGTCGTCCTCGTCGTCGTCGTCGTCGTCGTCGTCGTCGTTTTCGTCTTCGTCGTCGTCGTCGTCGTCAGTCCTCGTCGTTCGTCACCGTCGTTCGTCGTCGGTCCTCGTCGTCGTTCGTCGGTCGTCGTCAGTCCTCGTCGTCGGTCGTCGTCAGTCGTCGTCGTCGTCGTCGGTCTTCGTCGTCCTCGTCGGATTCAGTCGGTCGGTCGTCGGTCGTAGTCAGTCGTCGGTCGTTGGTCGTCGGTCGTCAGTCGTCGTCGTCGTCGTCGTCGGTCGCCGTCGTCGTCGTCGTCGTCGGTCGTCGCTCGGTCGGTCGGTCGGTCGGTCGGTCGGTCGTCGGTCGTCGGTCGTCGCCGTCGGTCGTCGGTCGTCGGTCGTCGGTCGTCGGTCGTCGGTCGTCGTCGTCGTCGGTCGTCGTCGTCGTCGTCGTCGTCGTCGTCGTCTGGAGGCGCCGTGCTGGGCGCCTGCGGCGGCGCGGAGGCGCTGCGCTGGGCGTCTGAGAGGCGCCGCCGCCGCCGTCGTCAGTCGTCGTCAGTCCTCGTCGTCGTCAGTCGTCAGTCGTCGTCGTCGTCGTCGTCGGTCGTCGTCGTCATCGTCGTCGTCGTCGTCGTCGTCGCCGCCGTCGTCGTCGTCGTCGTCGGCGTCGTCGTCGGTCGTCGTCGTCCTCCTCGTCGTCCTCGTCGTCGTCGCCGTCGTCGTCGTCGTCCTCGTCGGTCTCAGTCGGTCGGTCGTCGGTCGTCGTCAGTCGTCGTCGTCAGTCGTCAGTCGTCAGTCGTCGGTGTCGTCGTCGTCGTCGGTCGCCGTCGTCGTCGTCGTCGTCGTCGTCGTCGGTCGTCGCTCGTTCGGTCGGTCGGTCGGTCGGTCGTCCGTCGTCTTTCGTCACCGTCGCTCGTCGGTCGTCGGTCGGCGTTCGTCGTCGTCGTCGGTCGTCGTCGTCGGTCGTCGTCGTCGTCCGGAGGCGCCGTGCTGGGCGCCCGCGGCGGCGCGGAGGCGCCGCGCTGGGCGTCTGAGAGGCGCCGCCGCCGCCGTCGTCAGTCTTCGTCAGTCCTCGTCGTCGGTCGTCGTCAGTCGTCGTCGTCGTCGTCGTCGTCGGTCGTCGTCGTCATCGTCGTCGTCGTCGTCTCCGCCGTCGTCGCCGCCGTCGTCGTCGTCGCCGCCGTCGTCGTCGTCGTCGTCGCCGTCGTCGTCGTCGTCGGTCGTCGTCGTCCTCGTCGTCCTCGTCCTCGTCGTCGTCGTCGTCGTCGTCGTCGTCGTCGTCGTCGTCGTCGTCGGTCGTCGCTCGGTCGGTCGGTCGGTCGGTCGGTCGTCGGTCGTCGGTCGTCACCGTCGGTCGTCGGTCGTCGGTCGTCGGTCGTCGTCGTCGTTGGTCGTCGTCGTCGTCGGTCGTCGTCGTCGTCGGTCGTCGTCGTCGTCGTCGTCGTCGTCGTCCGGAGGCGCCGTGCTGGGCGCCCGCGGTGGCGCGGAGGCGCCGCGCTGGGCGTCGGAGAGGCGCCGCCGCCGCCGTCGTCAGTCGTCGTCAGTCCTCGTCGTCGGTCGTCGTCAGTCGTCGTCGTCGTCGTCGTCGGTCGTCGTCGTCATCGTTGTCGTCGTCGTCGTCGCCGCCGTCGTCGCCGCCGTCGTCGTCGGTCGTCGTCGTCGTCGTCGGTCGTCGTCGTCGTCCTCGTCGTCCTCGTCGTCGTCGTCGTCGTCGTCGTCTTCGTCTTCGTCGTCGTCGTCGTCGTCAGTCCTCGTCGTTCGTCACCGTCGTTCGTCGTCGGTCCTCGTCGGCGTTTGTCGGTCGTCGTCAGTCCTCGTCGTCGGTCGTCGTCAGTCGTCGTCGTCGTCGTCGTCGTCGTCGTCGTCGTCGTCGTCGTCGGTCTTCGTCGTCCTCGTCGGTCTCAGTCGGTCGGTCGTCGGTCGTCGTCAGTCGTCGTCGTCAGTCGTCAGTCGTCGTCGTCGTCGTCGTCGTCGTCGTCGTCGTCGGTCGCCGTCGTCGTCGTCGTCGTCGTCGTCGTCGTCGGTCGTCGCTCGGTCGGCCGGTCGGTCGGTCGTCGGTCGTCGGTCGTCTCCGTCGGTCGTCGGTCGTCGGTCGTCGGTCGTCGTCGTCGTCGGTCGTCGCAGAGCTATTGGAACCGTCTTGTGACCCTCTAGGGGCCTCTTGGAGGCATGTCGGAAGCTGTCTTGAACCATCTGCGGATGTCTTGTGCCATCTTGGAGGCCATCTTGGAGCATCGGAGGCCGTCTTGGGGCCATCTTGGGCCATCTTGGACGCTCCAACGCGTCGCGGCCCCCCCCCCCTCGAGGTCCAGGGGAGGGGGTACCGCCCCCCTGCCGCCCCCCTTGCGAAAGCGTGGAGTTTCTCGAAATACCTAATGCAGCATAGGAGGCATTATGAGGAAACGCCTCTGGCGCCACGCCCTCCTGCCCTCCTGCCCTCCTGCCCTCCTGCCCTCCTGCCCTCCTGCCCTCTTGCCCTCTTGCCCTCCTGCCCTCTTGCCCTCCTGCCCTCCTGCCCTCCTGCCCTCTTGCCCTCTTGCCCTCTTGCCTTCTTGCCCTCTTGCCCTCGTGCTCTCTTGCCCTCCTGCCCTCCTGCCCTCCTGCCCTCCTGCCCTCCTGCCTTCCTGCCCTCGTGCCCTCTTGCCCTCCTGCCCTCCTGTCCTCCTGCCCTCCTGCCCTCCTGCCCTCTTGCCCTCTTGCCCTCTTGCCCTCTTGCCCTCTTGCCCTCGTGCCCCTGCCCTCTTGCCCTCCTGCCCTCTGCCCTCTGCCCTCCCCCTGCTTGCCATCCTGCCCTCTGCCCTCCTGCCCTCTTGCCCTCCTGCCCTCCTGCCCTCTTGCCCTCTTGCCCTCTTGCCTCTCCCTCTTGCCCTCTAGCCCTCTTGCCCTCGTGCCCTCTTGCCCTCTTGCCCTCCTGCCCTCCTGCTCTCCTGCCCTCCTGCCTTCCTGCCCTCTTGCCCTCTGGCCCTCCTGCCCTCCTACCCTGCTGTTCTCCTGCCCTCCTGCCCTCCTGCCCTCCTGCCCTCCTGCCCTCTTGCCCTCTTGCCCTCCTGCCCTCTTGCCCTCTTGCCCTCCTTGCCCTCTTGCCCTCTTGCCCTCTTGCCCTCTTGCCCTCTTGCCCTGCTGCCCTCCTGCCCTTTCTGCCAGAAAAGCACAGTGCAATTTATTGCAAAAGCGCCGCCAGAATTGCACGCAGGTTTTTTTTTTTTTTTTTTTTTTTTTTTTTTTTTTTTTTTTTTTTTTTTTTTTTTTTTTTTTTTTTTTTTTTTTTTTTTTTTGTGATATGGTTTCTGGCACACGCAGATACCAGTCGGTTGTTTACCAGTTCTCCTCTTCTCGGCTCCTCTTGTAGCCATGCAGGGGCCCATTCTCGCCGTCCGGCGCCTGCCCTCTGCGCTACCCCTGCCTGGAAGAGGAGAGGGGAAGAGGAAAAGGAGAGAAAGCTCCTCTCTCTCTCCTCCTGTTCCTGAACTTCTTCCTCCCTCGCCCTGTTCCTCCTTCTTTCCTTCCACCTTTCTTCCTCCCCTTCCTCCTCCTATGATTCCTCCTCCTTCTCTTCCTGGGATAGACGAAATCCGCTCAAAATCGGTTCAGATATCTTGCGGGGGCAATTGGGTGGAGTTGTTCGTTTTGGATTGTTTTTTACGTTCCCGGACTTTCGGAGGGTTCTCATCGACTCTGGTTTCTGGGTGGCGTTTTCCCAGCTTGTGGGCTATGAAGAAACGGATTCGGGATGAAAGGTTGCGTTCCGAGGGTGCTTGAATCGTCCTGCACGGTCGCTGGAGGCTTGAGCCACGGCCGAAAGTTCACCGAGTGGATGAGGATGAGGAGGAGGAGGAGGAGGGAACTAGCAGTGGGAGAAGAAGGAGGATGCGGATGAGGAGGAGGGTAGGTTGTGGAGGAGGAGGAGGAGGTGGAGGGTGGCTGGGGCGCGCTCCGCGCGTCACGGTCATCGTCGTCGTCGTCGCCGTCGTCGTCGTCGATGTTCGTCGTCGTCGATGCTCGTCGTCGTCAAGAATCGTCGTCGTCGACGACGACGTCGACGACGTCGACGACGACGACGACGACAGGGGGATCATGCCCGGCTGGTGGGCCGATGAGGAGGAGGAGGAGGATAGGTGGTGAAGGAGGAGGAGGAGGAGGGGGAAGAGGTCGGCTCGTCGTCGACGTTGTCGTCGTCGTCGTTGTCGTCGTCATCGGGATCGTCTTCGTTTTCTTCGTCGTCGTCGTCGTCGTCGTCGCCGTGGTCGTTGCCATCGTCGTTGTCGTCGTCGTCGTCGTCCTCGTCGTCGTCGTCGTCGTCGTCATCGGTTCCGTCGTCGTCGTCGTCGTCGTCTTTGTCGCCGGCGTTGGTCATCGTCTGGCGTCGCCGAGAGCGGAG